TGTGTTATTTTCTGTATATATATATACACACATACATACGTCGTATATATATATATATGTATATATATATATATAGATATCTGTGATGTTTATGTATCTACATTTGAAAGAGTATGTGCTTGTATATGTATATGTATACTGTATATGTATATGTATATGTATATGTATATGAATATGTATATGTGCATACATATATATACACACAGATACATACATACATACATACATACATACATACATACATGTATTCGATACGACAAGCAGTGGAGGATCCTAGAATCGAAGGCTGGCCTACGCGAATGTCCTTAACTGTGAGATTTGAAGCAGGTAGCACGAAACTTGGCCATCCGCAGCTATGATCTAGGATCTCTGTCGTAACTCTAGCTGGACAAAAACCAAGGCTCCGAAACCAAGCCGTAGCTTTATCGTGCAGTGCACGAGCATGATTCACAAAGGTGTGTGTGTGTGTGTTCCTTCGACTTCAACATCGAGACGTCCGGCCAGGACTAACCAACAAACACTGCAACGTAAGCCCTGCACACTGCTTCCCCTCCACACCTCCGCACATGCAGCCTACAGTAAAACTAAAATGCAAGCGAATCCGCTAGCTACCCGTGTCCGAGACCCTGGCCAGGGTATATCCATGATGAACCAGGGAACCCGTCCCTTCGGCTGGAAGGACCGACTGGTGTTACTGCGCTTGTGGACGGAAGGGTTGGGCAATTTGTCCGAGGAATCTCTATGAGGAGTGATGACAAGCATTCAGGAGGAGGCTTGCGTGTATCAGGTCGGGGATAGCATAGCTGATCGCAACAGTTCTTTGCACGACATTCCTAACTTGCAGCCGCCCTCAAGCACTGTGCAGGGTTCACAGTTGAGCTCGCAGCCTCTATCACGAAAGAGGATTCATGAGCTTTATACGTGAAAGTCATGACTATCCTTGCAACCACCACAAAACACGTACGAGGCCGAGGCGAAGACCATACATGACATAGCCTATACCAGCGAGAACATCCTGACGTCGCCTCCCTGCTCTGTGCGCGAGGGAGTCTGAGCTCTCTCGTATGTGAGCCGGGTGGCTGATGATGAAGACTTTCCGCACGGTCTCCGGATAGTTCCCATCGAAGACCTGCGCCCAACTCCGCCGTTGTTGCTGACTCTACGAACAAAGTTATGCGGATATGACTGGCAAGGAACATCTGCTGAAGCGATCCCGCCGCATCACATGTGTTCCTGATAGTCCACTGAGAAATCAAAAGAAGAAACCTCCACGACACAGTAGCTGAAGAAACTACACAGAGCAAGAAGTGAACACAACAGGAAGCTCGTGAGGTCTTCGGAGATGAAATATTTTGTTGCTTGTGCTCATGCAGCCTTCATGATGTTATAGGTCGTCAGCTCACCTCAGGGCTTCAAGCTTCTGGATTGGAGACGCCTTGTAGATGTCTGGACCCAAGCGCAAATTGTTCCACATCCGTCCCGTCCTTCCGACAGAAATGCAAGGGCACTCTCGGAAGAATTTGTGGCTGGCTGGATGCTTTAGACTACGTTGGACCGCTTAAAAGCCTTCAAAACCAGACACTGAAGCAATCGCACAGCTCACGCATCACAAAAGCCGCTAAACAGCTGTGCAAACCCAGAGACCCTGTCCAGTTTGGGACATCTCCATAGTCCCCGACGTCAAGGATTTGGATCTGACCACGGATCCTCACGAGCTCAGGGCGAACAGAACATGTCATGGGGAATCTTCTGTTCAATATGAGCCGCAGTGCGGGGCTTGCACAGGGGCATTGAGCCTAGAACGCTTGAGCCTCATCCCTCTGCCNNCCCCCCCCCCCCCCCCCCCACAATACAAAGCCTTGAACTCCAAACCAGAGAACCTGCGAAGCAAAAAACACGTCCCTTCACCAAATAGTGCATTCCCAGAATTCCCTTCAAGCTTGTATACCTTCGAAGACAACTATGCCATTTTGCTGGTTTGTCCAAGTCGCAGCTTGCGGCAGCGGAACATGGCTTTCCGGATCTGCTCATGTGTCCACTCCAGCTTCGACAAACCTGGTTTGAAAGCATTGGCGCCGTGATTTGTCAGTCTACGCTGGACCAGTGCAGTACTGCTTTGGCTCAGGATGCTATGACAACTCAGCAGCTGTTCCATTCTCTTTGCAGGCACTGCTAGTATCATAACTCTGATAGCTGCGACCCGCAGCCGTTTGTCATGGCGGCCATCTGCAGCGCCCTGTCGTTCACGGTTCGGCTGCAAGCTGCTGAGCAGAGTACTGTCGACAAGGATGGCTTCCTGTCCGAACTCTCGAATCATTCCGGCCTCGGTGACTGGGGCTGCAGGTACAGAGGATACAGGGGTAATGGGTTTCATGGGGGTCTAGGAGTTGAAGGCGGGGGGGGGGGGGGGGNNGAAGGGGGTTTATCGGGGTTAATTGGTCAAGACAGTGTTCGGCTTCTGCAGAAAGTTTTTGCAGAACCCTGTCAAGGCACCGATATGTCGTCCCAACAACCATAACGGACATTCCAGTCTGCAGACTAGGGCATTACTTCCAGTGTCAAAGCTGGCAGCCCACCATGTTGGACTGTTTCTTGTTTGTAAGGTCTATAAGCACCGCAGAGCAGAGCTGGGCTCAGGATGCAAGCCTTCATCGAATCTCCCAAGCGCTCGAAACTGTGAGTTGATATGGGACAGGGACAGGAAGACCGGCCATCATTTAAGCTCGATCCGCTATCAGTCGAAGTGGCGCTGTCTGCAACGCCCAGGCGAAGTAACCTGGCTTTAGGGAATTGAGAAAATTGAGAGTTCGGGACCTGGAGGTTGGGGTAGCTTAGCTGCTACAGAGCAGTTGTTGGACAGCCCCATCAATCCCGCACCGCCCCCGTGTGAACCAAGTCAGGTATGCATGCACACCAGCAGGCTGCGCTCGAATGACTTTGCCGCTAGGAGGGTCTAGAATCGCAGCCCCGGAGCCGATTCCTCTTCAAGTGACTCTGACGCTTTCAAGTTCGAAAGGCGCGCAACATCTCTGAGGATGTGTATGTTCCAGGCATGTACATCCACCCAGCCGGCTGTCGACATACAGACGTAGATCTGCATCATAAACAGTCTACAAGACCTGAGGGCTCGATTGCAGAATCTCAACCTCCACAGGTGCCCCCGGGCCAAGCCGCCTCACCGGAATGCCGTGCTTGTCGTTGCCTGTGACTGCTCTTGGGGGCTTCAACCATCAAAACCCTTCATCCTGCGGCCGGGCTCTTGAGACGAACTAGAATCTGCACATGCCTCACTCATGACGGATAAACCTGGATCTCTTTAAACTACTCTCATCACATGATATGTCCAACTGCGGTCGTTGTGAGGCTCTAAGACTCGGACAAATCTGCTCCTCGATGGCGAAGCGTTTGCAAAGCCGAGCACGCCTAGTCCCTTGGGTGTTCGGCAAAAGCAGGCCGGTTCAAAGTTGGCAGCTCGGGGCTTCCGGGCTGTGATGGCACATGGCAAGACAAATCGTCTCCCTTGAACAACCCACACTGTCAGGATGTCGGACTGTCAGGCTGGTGCTGGACCCCCCACGCACGGACCACTTCACCTAATTTGTCGGTGTCCTATGGCCCCCTTGACGAAGTGCCGTTGCAGTATGAGATGTACCCTGACCACTGTTTTTGAAAGGACATGGCCAGGCATTCTACGGAGTTCCAATTCCCGGTCGCTAGCTAGCGGTCGCTGAGGTACAGGCGATGTCTCTCTAGCTCCCGCCTCCAGCTGTGTACCTCTTGGCTGCAGCTTGTATGACTGTATAACACATTGCTCACTAAGTCGTCTCACAACTCACAACTTCTAGACGCAGGAACAGATCTCGAGCAGGGCGCTGGCAACCTCGTGACCTCCACCTAGTATGACAGAACGACTCTGAGCATCGCGGATCCAGCCGCATTTAGTGTTGTGCAGTTGTGCATGTGCTTGTTGGGCTCCACAAAATACATGGCGATGTGACAGAAGGACCAGCGAAAAATCTCTTGATGCTGTCGCCTTCAGCCATGAGTGGCAATGGACACATGTACTGTTTTTTTCCTTGACGCCCCAGGCCAAAGAAGACCGTGGAGCCCCTGTTCGGCCAGGTCGAAAACATTCCTAAACTGTAGTTGAATCCTCCCACTCTGCACCCAGCCTTGCCATCGACGTCGAAGGTGTGGCGCCACTCCAGCATATCACGGAACATTCTTTCTGCCTCCACCAGGGTGGCATGTGGGGCTGACAATAACCTCTGGAAGCGGGGTATCAGCACTACTGACTGTTATTCTTGTTGCCATCAAGAAGAGTCAGGTCAAGACTACGCCTGCAGGCATTGCACACAGCATGGGGAGGTTCGAAGGGGCTCTATAGTTCCCGAGACGCTGGCTTCAACTTGAATTCTCATTTCGAGGGTCCTCACATTTCCGTCTCCCATACCCAAAGACCCAAAGCCCACGCAAACCTGAACGAAGGCGGGTCTCCGGCTTGGCAGGCCTGGCCTTAAGCACGTCGCCGTCCCGCGCTCGAAGGAAGCGCAAAAGAGTCTGTGCCTGATGGCAAGAGCCGCATGGTAAGTGTCTGTAGTGCCTGTTCCAGCTTTAAGTTGCAACCGTGACCCAACCCCAGAAACACAACCTTCGATTTAGTGGCCTTAAACACGTGCAGATGGCTTCTAGCAGAGTCTAGCAGCCCTTCACCGAGCACATCATGCTGAATCGTGCCTGACGATGCAAAGGCTTCCGTCGGCAGATGGGATGCAACTGGCACAGTCGAAGGACATTGCAATCATAGCACTCATAGCAGGATGAAGAGCGATCGCTGTCATGTATCCTCCACGGAGAGGTTTACGTAAAGGCATCAAGAAGCGTGCTTTCAGACAGCTCACATACTTTAGACACTTGTGCGGCTCTTCATCCTCAGCATGTCCTAGTCCTAGCTACAGTTCCAAACCGGTTTCAGGGTTTGACAGGCTTCATGAAGGGTACCACACTGTGTTTTCCAGGTTGCAGGGTTTCAGATAGTGCGAGGAAGGTGTTTCGAAGTTGCACAGCGCATCAGTGCCGCCGAAAAAACCGTCCACGACTATCTCTGGCAACACCCTGCTCAGGAAGCTCTTTTCCTCCCGAAATGCCTGCGAATTGGCCCGGAGAACTCCTTGCCCTTCCCTGAAGTCTCAGCCCTCTCATCCCGTGGCTGCACATACTGCAGCCTGCCAGGCTAGAGTTCGAACCGACCCGACAGCCAGGAGACCTCGCAGTCCTGTAGAACCTGATGGAGCCTGAAAGGTATGCGAAGCTTTCGTGCTGATGGGATTTCGGCATCATTCGGGCTTTGGGTTTAGTCGCATGCCGATAAGGGCCCGTTCGATCAAAGCATGTAGACGACTTCTGCAAAGAAGCGCTACACGAGGACTGATACGAAGCCTTTCCTGGCCAATCCGAATTCCGGGTCCACAACCTGGTCGTCGAGTATCCTAGGTGAACTAAAGGTTAACCTTTGCGATTATATACGGATTAGAGTAATTACCCCAGAGAAGTTAAGAGGTTACCTAGTCTACTGAGACCACAAACCGTCACCAGCACAAGGACTTGCCGTCCTAGCACCTCCCCGAGCCCAGGCATGCGGTATCGACTAAGCTCACCACTCCCGGAGCTTGAAAAGCTCATCCTGCCGCCGGTGGCATGCGTGCAAGGCATAGAGTAGGCAAGAAGCCCTATATAGCCATATTGCTTGATGGCTCCAGAAGTTCCAGATCTAAAGCAACACGCTCGGCGTAAGTATCCTGACTGAAACACCAAGAGCACCCCCGTCCATCTCTATGCAGACAGGTAGGTACAGTTATGTACACACCTAAGTACGTACATACATACATACATACATACATACATACATAAGTGTGTATACTAGTGCACACACAGTTGTTCATTTCTTCTCGGTAAATTTGACAAAGCCCCGACAGGCTTTGCAGGCCTCGTCGACACCGTCGGCCACGATGGACCTTTCATCAGCTCAGGGCTTTGGTGCTTGGGCTTCGCGAGCTGCAAAGGTCATCAGCCCCATACTCCAGCACCCAAACCTGAGGTAGAGGCCACTCAAGCTCGTGCTCCGGATCGTGGGGGACTCGGCTGGACATGCGATCCTTGGCATGAGGCTTCCCACTTGCGAGCACCCAGGCCACACTGCGGCCCGAATTTTTTGAAAACAGATAGTCACTTGTGGTGGTCGGAGATCTGTATAAGCTGTTTCCATTCTTCCTCCGTTCTATTCGAACTACACATATTCCAGTATCGGCCGAATGCCTGGAATGGACAGACATCAGCACGTAGACACATGCATGCATACATACGTACCTCGGTACATACTGCATATACATGCAGACATACATACATACATACATACATGCATACATAGGAAAAAACATATACACACACATACATCAATACCTGCGTACGTAATTACTCACATCATGCAATGTTGTAAACGCACTCCCCTTCATCACACTACATGACAGTCACATTGTGTTACGCTGCACAGCGTTGCATTATACGCATTACATTACAATGCATTCCATTATACTTTATTTTGTTTTACAAGGCCACGTTATATTACATGACAATAACGTATACATATACAGACACATACACAATACTGGGCCATACGCACGTACATACATGCGCACATACATACGTACATACCTACATGCATACATTCATACATGCATGAATACATACATACAGACATACCTACATACGTACGTACCTACGTATGCACGTAGATACATACATACATACCTCTGCATATAAGCCACACACACGTATAGTACATATGTACATACACACACAGGTGTTTGTGTTTGCCTGTGTGCATGCATGTGTGCACATAAGTTCTGAGCTATCTTGCGTTTGACATATCGTACCATCGACTCCTTAGACTGCGCAGTTTGTGCCTATGCTAACGTGTATACACACCAAGATGCACATGCACATCTTGTTTTTTACATACACACATATGCATATATATATGTATGTATGTATGTATGTATGTATAGATACATATATATATATACATGCATGCATACATACATACATAAATTGTATATTTCTACATGTACACATGTAGCTATACATTCATATTCAAGGTAAGCTAGTTGTAAGTTTCTATATACACATACATGCATACATCACCGGCTACAGGTCGCGACTTGTGCGCGCTTGTCCTCTGATCCATTGCACCCTGCATGCCCTTCCATTCGTGGAAAGCCTGAGCTCAACCTCCAAACTCTAACCGCCGACCCAAATCCTCAACCCCAATCGCTCGACCCTAACTCGAAAGTCCAAGTCCTACAGACTCTTCGACAGGAAGCTGAGGTCGCAACCCAAGAGGGTGACATGGCTGCACCCCTGGAATTTCACAGCGGAATCGCAAGACTTTGTACCAAGATGCATGCTTCCTGCAATGCCTATATGCTCAGGTCTGGGTGTAGTCATGGTATCATCCAACAAGGCTCCTCCTCACCCGTGACCCTGTGCCAGTGGTACAGCGAAATTCTCCCGGGCATGCAACTCGGATGACAAGTCAGAGCTGGAGCTTGGTAGCACACCCTAACCCCCCAGGTACCTACTATATAGGGTACTAGAGCCCCTAGCGCCCTATATAGTAGGTACCTGGAGGGTTATTGACAAGTGCTCCAGTAAACTTTGAGCAGCAAAATCTCTAAACGCCCTGAACCTTGCAGGCGACAAGGGAAATTCACCATCCCTGAGCCGGGGCTGCTGCGGCGTCGGGGACACCGTGCTGGGTGTCAGTGGCCCTGTTGGAAGGCGTGGTAATGGAGTTCTGCGTTTGGGAGCTTGCAACACCTGAATACATACGTTATAACAAAAAGATGTGCATGTATAGTTGCACTCTTACTTATGCACGCATCCCATCCCTCTGTCCAGACATGCGCAGATTCATTCATTCATTCGTTCGTTCGTTGATTCATTCGTTCATTAGTTCAGTCTTTCATTCGTCCGAACATTCATTGATCCTTTCCATTTAGCAGGTAAGGAAACTGAAGCTCGGCCCATATAAAACATGACCAAAGATCCCCAAACCCTCCCAACCCTGGATCCCCCAAAAGATCCAAACCTAAACCTCAAATCCCAAAGATCGATAAACTCTGCTGCCAGCCTTGGTTGAACCAGTCACCAGACAGCTCTGTCTTTATTTCGCCTCATTCGCGCAGACAGCTCGACAACGGCATTGTTCAACAAATGCATCGGTCACCACTGCCCGCAAACATACATACATACATTCATGCGAAATTGGTAAACAAGAGTCCATACAAGCCTGCACAGTACATACGTACGTAAATACAAACATGCGTGCATACCTACATACACACCCCACACACACACATACATACATACATACATACATACATACATACATACGTACATGCATACGTATATGTATGCATGTACGTATGTATGTATGTATGTATGTATGTATATGTGTGTATATATATATATGTCTATATATGTTTTTGAATATGTACATATGTAGCTGTGTGTTTGTGTGTGTACATATACATACAGATACACAGATACAATATCGGTATTGTGCACATTCAAAAAGCACGGATCCGTGTTTCAACCGCATCAATTGCTTCTGAATGCACACACATATGTGTGTATATGATCATATATGTGTTTGTGTGTTATTGGGATCATGCATATATTTCTTATGCGAATATGCAAAAATGCGAACATACATGCATCCATACGTACATAAGTACATACGCACAGACATGCATACATGCGCACCGGCATACATACGTACATACGTACTTACTTGCCTGCTTATCCATTCGTAAATTTTTGATACACACATGCTGTTTCTATTTGTTCAGAATCACATCATGCTATGCCACTATTTGCAGGTGCGCACATGACTGACACAACTAGGCTGAACGTGCCAGGAATGATCCTGGCTCTTCAGCTGTCTGCTTCGCGGCGCTTTTCAGTCCCCGGCATGGTTTTCGCAGCCTCCCGGGTTTAGGCTTTTGGGATTTGGATTTAGGAGTTGGGGTGGAGGTTTGGGGGGGGGTAAGGTTGGCATTACATTCTTGCGGTTACTGCTTCTTGGGTGCATGATCTGAGCTCGCAGCGCGAGCGTGGTCTGTCCGGCATTTCTGCTAAAGTCGGTGATCTTTGCAGCTCTTTGCCATGTGCGCAAAAACAGAAATCTTTAACTTACCAAGAGATTTCTATGATTAAGGACTCAGCTCTGTACGTACACTGGCTCGAAAGACTCTAAAGCTGAGCCGTGAGAAACGACAAAACTATCCTAAGACGGATTTGCAGCTCGAAGATCACATCCTCGACACTCTCCCCTTCCGGCAAACTGATGGCACAAGCAGAGTGCTGTGGACTGGGTTGCAATATTCGAAGCCCATCTCAGCGTTTTCTGCAAGCCCTAGCTTGTACTAGTGAAAGTTCAAAGACAGCATCGTAAATGCCATCAATAAGTGGCACCCGAACTGCAGTTGTCGAACCCAGCCAACACAGCTTTCATCAAGGTGCACAGCCCTAAACCCCAAACCCTACAGTGTAGTTACAGTAGAACTTAAACCCCATCCTACAGTTGCCTTGGTTTTGGGGCTTAGCGTCAGCACCCGGTTTTGGTCTCATCGAGCACCTGAGGCCCAGCCCAACTCATCTCCCTTGCCTGTGGGCTTCGCAGCAGCTGGCCGCGCCCATAGCTTGTCACAGCACAAAAGAACTCAAGTGCTACCACGGCTTGAAGGTTTTACGGGGTTTCATCTTACTTGGGCTAGGGATCTCACTCCAGGGTCTTGGAAGACGCATGTCGCTTTACAGGCTTATGGCCTTTTGTCGAAGAGACTACAACGACCCGGACAAGAGGGCCGGTTCCGGGTCGTGTTGGCGATATAACATGATAGATATATATCTATATATATATACAATACTAATAAACAAATAAACAAATGAAAAATACATACATATATAGATATATATATATATAAAATAGCTGTTGGGCCAGCTGCCACTCTTGAGCTCGATGCAGATCGAGGTGCATTTGACACTGCGTGCAACCTCTGCCGACTACCCTCAGGGTTGCGGCAGTTGTCATACTACACCTCCAGACATATATGGGACCAAGAGATACCACCGCAGACTGCAACGCACTGCACTGGCAACCCTAGGAAACCCAGTACCAGGAAAAGCCTTACAGAAGTCCCCCTAAACCCTAAACCCTAAAACCCTAAACCCCTAAAGCCCTAAAACCCTAGACCCTAAAACCCTAAACCCTAAAACCCTAAACCCTAAAGGGCAGTGCCTTGGGCCGCCGGATCTCCCGAAGAGCGAAGCAGCCCGTGGCCGCCATGGACACCGCGCAGGCCAGGCCCACGGAAAGCCAAATGCGACCTCGATGCGATCCCCTTGACTTTCCCTCTGACCCTGCATGTGCGCATATACATGTAAACAAATAAACAAACAAATATATATATATATATAACACATACACACACATGTGTATGTGTGTCCGTGCATGCAACATGAACAGCACTGGAACAAGGCCCACACTGCTGGCACAAAGGAGCTCACTGAGCGACCAGCTCTAGCCAAGCAACCCCCAAAACGAAAAGGAAACCCTTCCAGTTGTCGGCGCAGGAACAAACCGAGAGCTCGATATAAGTTGCGAAGGAGTAGTGAAAGAGACAGATAGGGTTTTCGGTCTGTCCACCCAAAGCTTGGCTCAAGCTGCTGGCGCGAAAAGGGCCTGAAAGGGCATGAACTCTACGGTTGAAGACTCGGATGGCTTTGTTGTAGAGCTGAACAAACTTACAAGCGCGGGTGTAACCGGAAAGCGCCAAGCAGGAACACCACGGCCATGTTACGGCCTGCAAGGATTGATTAATTATTCCCCGCAGTTATCAGTCCCACAAAGCAACCGCTATTCAGTGGGAACCTCCTGAGGTCTGAGTTTCTCTTTTGTACATGCAGTGCATAGGGTCACGAAGCTACCGCCGCCCAAAGTGGAGTCCGTTGCTGAGCTCGAGCATCCTCGGCCGAGCTAGGTGCGTCTGGAAACGAAAAGCAAACAGCAAGAAGTGTCGTGACGGCTTCCTCCTCTTCGGCATCATCTTTATCATCATTTTCAAGCTCCCCCTCCTTTTCCTCCTCATCCTCATCCTCATGCTCATCACCATCATCATCATCATCATCATCTGTCAGGAGTATGGATATAACAAAGACAACACACACTACACACACACACAAACACACACGCGCACACACAGACACACAGACACACAGACACACGCGCACACACACACACACAGAGACACACACAGACACACGGACACACAGACACACACTCCAGCTCTTAAACAGGTCCCAAGATCCATTCCACGGACGAGTCCGGCGTCAACCGGGCAGAGAGCATCTGTTGAAAGACTGCACGTAGGCCTTCGAATTCTGAGTTGGCGCCAAGCAACAGGAGGAAGCCAATAGCTTAGGTAGGCTTTGGGTTTATAGGGCAGTGGAGGGCTTCGCTTCCTTTGTACACTAAGTCGCCCCACCGCTCAAAATCGACAGACGAGTCTCAAACCTCTGATCTCACCAATGGGGCGTTGGGGGGTGTTGGTGGTGTTTTATAGATAAACAGCACTTTAGATTCTCGCGAAATCTTATCAGCCTGGCGGATCAAAGCTAGAGAAAGTAGGGTGAGTGTCGGTTGCCTCCCTCGGTGCTCCGGTAATCCCTTTGGACCTGAAGGGTTTCCGCTCGAGCTTGAGGCTTTGGGATTGTTTTTGCTTCAGGGTGTCTGCCGGCTGACCGAGACTGGCCATCGCAGATTCCCGTGCACTGCATGCGCCTTTGTGAGCTGAAATACGTGTAGAACCATGCATGCTGCTAACCTGGCAATTTCAGAAAGTAAAGCGGGCTACTGGATCCGGGAATCCAGCTCCACTCGTAGGCCACGCATCAGTACGGCCTCGAAAGTCCCGCAGGCGGGTCAGCTCCGTCAGAATCGGAGTGAAGCTGACCTGACGTGTTTTTGCTGCTGGGTCACCACAATCGACGCACGGCACTGATCCAGCATGCAGCCTGCCTAAAGTGGGGTGTGCCATGTCCCAAAGTCTCTTAGTCGGTGCAACTCCGTTCTGCCCAAGTCTTAGTCTTAATTCAAGTTCACAGCCACAGCCTTCAAAAAACGAAGGAGCGCACAACCCGCGTCGAACATGCTGGTACAGTATATGCGCATGTCAATATATACCATGCAAGCATGTACGCATACACCACCGATATGTATCTATATGTGCATGTTTACGTACAAACAAACACACGTCGTGTTTCTACGCAGGTGTATATATCTACTTTGAGGTATGCACGGACATACTTGCACGTTCACGGCACATGTAATTACAAACATCGGAAATACGTAGGTGAACAAACTGAAGAAGTAGACTGATCAGTGCATGACACACACACACACATGCACAGGACTTTGTCAGTGAATACATACACGAATAGACTAGTACACGATAAAGCGACTAAGTGACTGAGTAAGAGCTCAATAAGCAGATGAATGCACCATTAACCGACTCCAAGCACACAATAATACAGATGTAAGTGTAAATGCAAGTATACCAAGGAAGGACGAAAGTACAGATGCAGCATGCGTATACACATAACTACATACAAGCATACTCGTGTTTGCCTCTTTCTCCTTCTATCTCTGTATATGTGTGTATGCATACAGACACACAGGGACATACATATCATATATTATGTGCGGAACACTAAGTATGCGTGCATCAATATATAAGGTTCCACGTTCGGGCAGTCAGGGGTCTGTGTCGGGAGCCAGCTGCTGCCCGGCCATCTGCTTGAGAAGCCCGCGCGCAGAGTTCAGAGATCCAGCTCGACAGTGGGCGCTGATCACAGCCTTATAGTCAGGGCCACTATGAGGCCCAGCAGAAGAGTAAGCGTTCTAGAAGGGTGCTATAGCCTCTCTAAGTGTTTTGTAGGGACTGGGGTTTTTAAGGCTTCTGTGGGTTGCGGTTGTGGGTTTTGGCAATTTGGGGCTTCGGGTTTTTGGGGTTCGGCTCTAGTGCGTTTAGGTTAGAGCATCTTTCGACTTCGGGGTGTCGCGGAGCACCAGAAAGGGAAAGCGGGAAACCTGCGTCGAACGCGTATGGTTTCGTTTCCATGAAACAGGTACCCTAACCCTCCAGGTACCTCAAAGCAGTCCACAGCTTCAATCAAGCACCTCAAGGCCGAATCCAGTGAGAGCCGGGGCGCGTTGTAGGTGATCGTCGTGGGCTTCACGTGGTCGGCCATCCGATTTAAGAGCTCATCGGCCTCGTGGAGTTTTAGGAAAAATGAACGGCCTTGGGATTTTAGGCTATGGTAAGCGGTTTAGGGATTCGGATTTGAGGTGTAGGGTTTAGGATTCAATTTGTAGGGTTTAGGGTGTAGGGTCCTGGATGGTCCTGGGATTGACAGGATGTCTGTCTGTGTCAGGTAGTACCCGCAGCAATCCACTCTCCTCAGCAGTGTATTGGCTGGGCCAAGCCTCGCGCGCAAGGCCCTGACGGGCGAAAGCATCCTTGGATTTGTTGGGGCCTACACCCTAAACCCTATGGGGTTGCTTCGGTCTTGAGCTCAGTTTCCGAATCACTCACATATGAGTCTTAGCATCAAACCTCGAACAGCAACCTCGAGACACGAGGCCATCACACAGTTGAAGCTGATGACATCGGGAGATGGTCCCTCCTGTGCTGTGGCTATTCTCTTCATTCCTGGTCTCGGCAGCAGTAGTGCAAGACACTCTCGGGTTCTCTGTCTGTAATAAGGGACCCCGGTGTAGACCCCAAATAGTCCGTGACCTCACAAACAGAAAAGTGTTAAGTACCGGAAACCCGTACAACCAGACCAGCAAACCGCTTGCAGGCTTGCAGATTCTCGGGCTCCTGAAGGAGGTATTCAAGGTAGCGTTGTGCCCCACTCACATCACCCTTCCGCGAGAAGGCGTGGATCAACCTCACACTTAACACTCTCACTTGCCACGGGAAGTGACCTAAGTCTGAAATCTCTTGCATGCCCGTGAGGTGCGACAGTGGTCACCCTACCGGGATCGTAAAGACTTCCGTGGGCACTGTGGGAGTTAGGATTTTATTATGCAAGCTATCTGCTTTTCAAGCACTATGCTGGAAAGGCCGAAGGATGTTTGCTGACCCTCGAAGGGCGATTGCGGAAGCACAAAAATCTGCAAGCAGCGGGGGAGTTATGCATAATTAGCAAGGTCGGAACCAGGTGTTAAACTGCGATCAGTTGATCTCATGTCATCACGCCTGTGGACGCAAGTGCAATGCAACACGGAAGCAGGACCTGGACAATACAGCTGCAGGCCATCGTCACAGTTCCAGAACAATGGCAAACGTTAGGAACACCAATCAGTAGCAACAGTTCAAGGAAGCTAACACATACCAGGAGTCTGTCAGATTTCGGAAGAATGCTGAAAAGCGGCGTGTTGTAGGACACCAGGTCCGGTTGCCTTGGGTCAGCGGGACGCTTCTTTACAATGGCGGCGACTCCATGCATCAATCAAGCCTGTCTCGCACCTGTTGTACTATGCTTCTTGCTCCATTTCGCCATACCCCGTCGCAAGGTATCACGTGTCAACTGGATTCGCATGCAGTTGGATTCTCGCTGCGGCCAAAGGTACTGCCGTGAAGTGCGAAGGACCTCCATTTTCAGGAGGGTTCTCGGACTCAGGCTGAAAACGTTAACCCTCTCGCGATATTTCAGGTGTGGCCTGGAGAACATCTTCCGCGCCAGCTGCATCGCCACGCCGCGCCTTAGCCTTGCCAGAGGTTTCGGTCAGGGTGCTCTAATTCGAAACATCAAATAAGGAGCCATCCTAAGGCTGAGAATGCAGTGCTTGTAGGATCAGCCCCAAAGACAGATCTGCAAGCCAGGGCACGGACATCAATGCGTTGCAGGCTATCAAGTCCTTGGCTTCGGGCATTCAGCTTTCGCATGGGTTTAGGGTTTAGGGATGTGCGCGTTTTGCCGCCTACTAGCTATACATTCAACTCAACGTCCTGCCCTCCCACACTTTGCACATCGACACCCTTGGAAGCCCACTGCTTCAGAGTATCGGGGGAGATCTGGTGATCGGTCATCTTGCTGAGCCACGCCTCTGTGTTTTGCACAGATTGGTTGTATGCTTTGGACTTGCGGGGGAGACAGACAGACGGACAGACAGACAGACAGAGACAGAGAGACAGAGAGCCATGCAAGCCCATAATGCCATGTGTCGGGCCATGTGAGTAGTTCTCTAAATTAGGGTCCCTTTAAGGGTACTGTTTATAAAAGTGCCGTACTATTTTGGGGACCTACAAAAGGACCCTAACTTTGAGAACTACCATGTCCAGAGCAGCCCACCTCTGCACGTGCCGGCTTCGAGGCTTTTGCCGCGGCGTTGAGCAAGGCACCTTTTTGGATGATCTTCTGTCAGTGTGTTTGGGCTTCGGGCTGTTTCCGGGGGTGCTGTCTCTGTTGCAAAACCGGGCTTTGAAGGAACCTTCGTAGGCATGGGAAGTCGGAGTATGTTTTTGCCAGGATTCAGACACAAGCTTTTGAAGCATCGCTCTGCGGCATGCTCGGTGCAGAGTCCCTCAGTGCATTCACCATGTGATGCCATGTGGGTTGCCAGCATGATTTGCTACTCTTGCGCGCCCTCGCCCGTTGCAGAACTAATTAGTATCTAGACCTGCAAAATCTGGCTTCAACCGCTTCATGCAACTATTTTGGCATACATACTTCGCTGCAGGCCTTGCAAGCATACGCAAAGAGTGAACAAGTGCTGGGAAAGGCGCAAAAGCTGATGCGGTCAGGCTGGACGTCGGAGTCCATCATGAAGGTGTACCACCACTCCTGAAGGTCTAAAAACACTATCGCTTATCGTCTTACCTCTATATAGGCCTTACTTGCGAAACGTAAGTTCGGGCGTTGAGTCTGTCATTGCTCTGACGCCAGTAACGGAATATTACTCCAGAGGAGACCCCGCAAGAAAATTTATTGAATCTAAAGTTTCCGAGGTGCCAGATAAGAGAAAATGTTGAGTATCGAACACTTGAGAAACACTTTGTTTGTTCGTCCTGGGATTGGCAACGAAGGAGCAGAACCTATGCAAATACTCACGGGACCAAAAGATGGTTCTCTCTCAGAAATGAAGGGATCCAGCAGCATCCTGCATCCTTGAATTCACAGGTTTGAAAGTCGGGAACAGGATAACACTGAAAGCCCTTAAAAACCCTGGTCTTTCGTGGCTCAGATTTATCGGTCCGCGGCATGGACCACGTCTTCTGAAATCCAGTCCCTGTCAGCGTGCCAACCCCATAACAGCCCCTCCACTTCCAAGGACAACGCAACCCGATCAGATCGTTCGAAGTGTCGGCGGCACGAAGACGTCCGCGCTTCGCGAAAGCGTCGAGGACGGCATTGCCTCACTAGGAGAAGCTCTGAGAACCCTTATAGAAACCCTTGAATGTAACCCGTTTTCGGTACTGTAACGGAGGAGGGAGAGACAGTGACAGGCCACTTGCCAGTTTTCAGTAGCATGTTGGAGGTTGTAGCCAATCGAAGCGGGATGAATTGACTGCCAAGCTGTGCACGGTTCGATCTCCGGCTACTCTCTGAGCCAGTCATTCACCCGAAATGTAGTGTGGCTTGCGATTCTATTAATTACAAAGTAGTCTGCCTTCTTCTCTCTCTCTCTCTCTCTCTCTCTCTCTCTCTCCCTCTCTGTCTCTCTTTCTCTCTGTCTGTCTGTCTCTCTGTGTCTCTCTGT